AAGAAAGGCAGTTTGGTTGACATTAAAGGCATACAAGTTGCATAGGGTGGCAATCATGATTGGACCAGGTACCCCTTAGGACAGGGTTTCTTCCCACTGACCATCACACTAATGTGTTATGAGTTATGTATATGGTAATTTTTAGTAGGGGTTCCCTGAGGCCAGAAAGTTTTTTCAAAGGTTCCTCTGTGTTGAAAAGGTTGAGAAAGACTGTCTTAGGATAATAAAATGACCTCTAGGATCTATGACCGATTAAACAGGCACAAATAGAAAGCCTCTTTTATTTAGATGGAAAATCCTGTGCAAATATCATGTCCACTCCTGACTGCCTAAACTCCTGAAGTGCAAGATGTTGTTTATGGTTAGAGTTTAAACCATTGACATTTAAGGACAGAATCTGCACCATGATAAAATGTCAATGTTGGGTAATTAGCCAAGGTAATTGTGACAGCAGAGTAGTATTATGGATATAAGGATGGTATACATATCATACCATATTGTTCTACATCTTGTATTAAGCTTGTCCACCTTATTGTTAGTTTGTTGATCTACTCATCTCTGATTATTCCTTTTTTCCTCCTTTTCTATTCTCTTTTCTGTTTGTCTGTGTCTCTCCATGCCTCCAGACACTACGCAAATTACCAAGCTGTGGAACTACAGTGAGGGAAATAATTATTTGATCCGCTGCAGATTTCGCATTTCTTCCATTTGCGAATAATCACTCCAACAGTCTCATTCTCACCAAGCTTCTTGCTGATGGTGGTGTAGCCTATTCCAGCCTTGTGCAGGTCTACAGTCTTGTCCCTGATGTTCTTTGACAGCAATTTGGTTTTCCCCATGATGGTGAGGAAGAAAGAGATTCTGTGGACAGGTGTCTTTTATACACATAACGAGTTGTCATTAGAAGCACCTTCATAAATTGACAAGACTAATCTGTGTACCACATGAGCACAGTCTGTGGGAGCCAGAATTATTGTTGGTTGGTAGGGGATCAAATATTTATTTTACTCACTGAACTGTAACTCCATTTATAACATTTGTATCATGTGTTTTTTCTGGATTTTTGGTTGATATTCTGTTTCTGTCATTTAAAATACACTTATGATAAAAATTATAGACCCTTCATTTGTTTGTAAGTGGGCAAACTTACATAATATGCAGAGGATCAAATAATTATTTCCCCCACTGTAGCCCAGCAGCTTGGTAATGTGTGGAGTGTCTGGAGGCATGGAGAGACACAGACAAACAGAAAAGAAAATATAAAAGGAGAAAAAAAGGAAAAGTCAGAGATGAGTAGTTCACCAAACCACCAATAAGGTAGACCAGCTTAATACAAGATGTAGAACAATCAGCCATAGAAACAGTTCCTAGATACCCCTTGGACCTAGATGATGGCAACAGGAGCATATACACAGGTTCAATTAACGGGGAGTCTGAAGGGGAGGAAGACAAGGGGTTGAACACCGGAAACAGCACTCCAAAGGGCTCCAGCATTTTAAAAATGGAAAGCAGCAAGTGAAACAAATAATGGGCATATTGCATTAATGTATTTCAATGTGATATGACCATACATAGACAGGAAAAAACAATGAACGACTATTGCTTATGGGAGATCAGAGAACAAAACACCCCAGCACCATCCCTAAAATAAAAAATAGGGAGGGGGAGTGAGGTGTCTGGGTACACTGGACCAGCTACAACATGAAAAGTAAGAAAAAACACTATATATCAAATGATACCAGTCCAATGGAAAAGAGTAAGAAATGCAACTGTGCTGAATGTCTAAATAAGGAAGGCTTCTGTTTTGGAGACTTGTGGGAAGAATCAGAAGGCCTAGCGCATTTTTTTGGAGAGACTTTCTGCCACATCATTGGAGGCATAGGTGCTGGTGTTAAAAGGTCCAAACCGAGTAGATCTGGCTGTAAAATTTCAAAAGCATCACAGAAGGCAAACAAGTCCTCCGGCACTCTCATTATTGCAGATTTTCCATTACGCTTCACCGTCAGGCTGAAGGGAAAACCCCAGGTATAGGTAATGTGATTCTCAAGTAGAAGGGACAGCAGAGGTTAGAGAAGTCGCCTCTTCTGTAGAGTTATCCAAGAGAGATTTGGATAAAGTTGAATCGCAGTCCCCTCAAAAAGAATTTTGCGTGTGGATCTAGCTTTCCTCACTGCAGAATTCATCCGTCTGCTTCTGTCTTCTGTCACATCATCAATAAACACCAATGACCCAGTGCCACTGGAAGCCATGCATGCCTATGCCATCACACTGCATCCACCATGTTTTTCAGATGACATTGTGTGCTTTGGATCATGAGCTGTTCCAAGCCTTATCCACACTTTTTTTCCCCGTCATTCTGGTACAGATTAATCTTCGTTTTATCCATCCAAAGAATGCTTTTCCAGAACTGGTCTGGCTTTTTTAGATGTTTTTTTGGCAAAGTCTAATCTAGCTTTTGTATTCTTCAGGCTTACGAATGTTTTGCACCTTGTGCTGAACCCTCTGTATTTGTTCTCGTGAAGTCTTCTCTTGATTGTAGACTTTGACAATGATACACCCACCTCCTGGAGAGTGTCCTTCACTTGTCTGAATGATGTGAATGGGTTTTTCTTTACCATAGAGAGGATCCTGCAATCATCCACCACTGTTGTCTTCCATATACATCCATGCCTTTTTATGTTGCTGAGCTCACCAGTGCGTTTTCTTTCCTCAGAATGTACCAAACTGTTGATTTGGCCACTCCTAATGTTGCTGCTATCTCTCTGATGGATTTGTTTTGCTTTTGAAGCCTTACAATGGACTGTTTCACTTGCTTGGACAGCTCCTTTGAACGCATGATGTCGGTTCACAGCAATAGATTCCAAATGCAAATACCACACTTAAAATCAATTTCAGACTTTTTACCTGCTTAATTGATGAAGAAATAATGAAGGGGCAGCCCACACCTGGTCATGAAACAGCTTTTGATTCAATTTTCCAATTACTTTTGGTCCCTTGAAAAAGGGGGGATGGCTACTCTTAAGAGCTGTAATTCCTAAACCCTTCCTCCAGTTTGGATGTGCATACCCTCAAATTAAACCTGAGAGTGTGCACTTTCACCTCATACCCATTATATAACTATAGCTTCAATGTTTTGGTAAATACCTGTAAAAAACTAAAATTGTGTCTGTATCCAAATATATATGGACTTAAGTGTATCTTTATGCAGCACATGATCTGTTCATGGATACTAGATAAAAGTTTGTTCATTGTTTATATTTGCAGCATTTTTGTAATATCCTATTTTATGTGAATATCTTCTGTGAATTATTACAGATTATCACACAATATTTGTCAACAAATGTAGAAAGTAGTTATATTCGAGGCTTACTGTTATGAATTTTCATTTTATTTTCTTGTAATATTTATATATGTAGACAGCACTGGACATTCAGCTTGTTAAGCTCAAAAGCAGGTTTACTGAATAACTTAGTAATTTAAAGTTGATGTAAACCCTAACTGAATGCACTTAGTGCAAAAGCAACACTGTTTATCATAGACACTTGATAGGATTTTATTTCTGTTAGAAATAAAAGATAATAAATACTCCCTTTCCTTGTTTCTCATGCATCCTCTTTGCAGCTATTTCCCACCTACATTCTTTGAGTGGACTCCAGTGGCGGCTGCCTGTCATTTCTCAGGGTGGGTTTCCTGATGGATGACAACAGCAGAATATACCTGTATAATAAATGTCAGCACGACATTTTATATAGTTTCTAGTAGCAGCACGTGTGACAAAGAGCATCTGAGAGACTGAGCTTTGTCCCCACTGAACAGGAAGTGCCAAACATAGACCCTTGTGTCAGTATCAACAAGTACTAGTTTAATGCAAACCAGATTAAAAAAAAAAAAGATTGAAATTACTTCTGTAATCTCATTAAAATGTTACAAATTATATGAGATTTTAGTGATTACTTATTCTTTAAGAACAGAATCTAACACTGTACTTTCAACTGACTGATTAATTAATGTCAAAATTTGAGGACACAACGAATAAACGAATCATCTGAGCGAGCTGCCCTTGGAATGATTTAAGCCTTGGAGTACTATTTTTAAAATCACATATTGAAGAAATAACTGCCAGCCACATTAGACACCTCCCATGTAAAGCCATAGATTACCTACTTGAAGAATGGAAAGTTTTGTTGTAAACCTGGCCTTTTACATCATCAGGCCTGGCAACAGACCTCAAGCTAACCACAGCTTGCTTCCTGCTACCCTTCTATCAACAGCAGGTACTGTTGAGAGGCCAGGGATTTTTTTTTTTATACACAGGACCTGTCCCATTACCACTAACAATGCTCTTTTTGTTTTTTAACTGCTTCTGTGTGTTTTACTGTTATCTCAGGGCACTGGCCATATCTGGTGTTTTCTCGTGGGCTTGTGTCTTTTGCTATATACATATAATCTATGGCTTCTCTTCTAGAGAGCTAACAATGCCACCCTGTTCTGAAAGTATGCTAAGATTTTCTAAACTAAACATTAGCGCAGATGGAAATTCCCTGCACGGCCAGAGCTGTAATGTCCGCAGCTTATTACAGCTATGTGTTCAGTAGGAAGGAATTGCATATTTAGGTCCTCGTGGAATACTGGCTAAGCAGACTTGTCCAAGAAAGAGGGAATTCTGAGTCAGCAGTGCAATTAATATGCTGCAAAAGGAACAGGTTACACACTAACATAAGCATACTAAGACAGCCACCCACAATACATTAAATGGACAAATATATCCACATGTCTAATGAACCAGTATTATCTTTTTAGAGAAACGTGACCCCATGCACAGGCTGTCTCAAAAGTAGGACAAACCCACTGTATACTGTATACCGCATGAATGGGATACACCACTAGCTGCTACTAACAGAGGAAGAGAGGATTCCTTTTTATTTTTCTGAAAATAATTTCAAGGACACCAAGGGCAATATATTTCATTAAAAAGAAGTGAATAGCCACAGTCAGCTTACTCTTGTAGAGTTTCCACTCCCTTTTCTTTGAACTGAAGTTCCTGCTTCATCAGAGTTAGCTCTCGTTTTAACCTAGAAAGCTGAAAAAAAACACTATTGTACATAACCTCATTTCAAAAAAATATTACAAAATCAAGTTTATTACAAAAAGCTTGAAGGTCATATGTGCAAAATGACTTGTAGGAATCTCAATATGTATATGTTTGGCTTAATGAAACAAGTTATTTACATGTTGTATCTTCCATTCTTGGGCTTCTACCCACATTTAAGGATAGCTATCAGAGACTTGCAGATCATTTCTTATGCTTCTATGACCAACTATCTATCCTGAACCCCTGGTTTATTGTTTAGCAGTTACAGTCTAAAATACAGAGCAGGACCTTTGAAAAAATTACTTGAAAAGATTGTTAGTGCCAGTACAAGATGTGTACACCATTTATTGTATGGCTAGGGTTTGGGGAGCAAATAAATAGTATAAAGAGCAAAGAGCAACATTATGGTGAGGGTACTAAAAGACACCAAATAATTCTTAAAGGAGAAGTTCATCTTTTGGATAAAAATAATAAATGCACATTTTTTTGGCAGGTAAAAAAATGTGCATTTATTATTTTTGTCCAGAGGAGCCTGGATAGCATTGCACCAGTGATCAGTGGATCGCTGATGTCATGCAGGTCTCCTGCAGACCTGTCAGAATATCTGATAGCCGTAATAAAATTTTTTTTATATATATAAAAACCCCAAATACCCCAAAATAATAGGTATTACTAAATATAGGAAGCATTGGAGGGGTAGCCATAAAGTGAGGTCCCTAAGTAAATTGGAATCCAAGTGGATTTATAATATGCAAACTTATACCCCCAAAGGGCTGAACATAGAGTTCGATTTAAATTGTTTTATTTCAGATTATTGATATAGTAGTGAGAATACCATAAACTCCATTAGTTATGAGGTGTTTGATAGGGATTCCTTATGTGCGCACAGTAGATTTATACGTACTATTCCTCTTTTAAAAGGTCCTGTCTGTTTGTTAATGATTTTTATATTGTGCAAAAAAACTTTTTATATTATATAAATTTTAAATTTTTTTTTATATAAATGTATATGGCTCGGTTGTAAGCTCAGGTTTTTGGATGTGGCCTGTATGGATTTACAGTAAAAGGGTATGGGTGGAGTGTCAGGAATTCTTTGATCCTTATTTTATATATTTTTTTATATTTTTATTTTGGTATATTTTAAATAATTTTAAATAATAAATACAAAAAAGTTTTTTATATATATAAAAAAATTTTTTTATTTTAATTAAAGATTGTAATGAGGGGTTTTACATGGTTAATGTTTATTGTCCCACTTTGTTGGCTTAGTGGTTTAATTCCAGAGTAGCAGCCATTATATATGTGTATGATTCCGGTTTGATCTATAATTGGTAGATATAGGTTATTTGTTATATAAATAATATTAAATATATGCTACCAGTATGATATCCATGTTTTTATATTTCTCGTACTGGTCTGTCCACATATGATCACGCAAGAATAGGTTCATTGAATATGAGATTCATATATATATATATATATATATATATATATATATATATATAGATACATCTGGCCGAGATTCTAGTGTTTGTCCCCATTTTTTACATTCCGGCTCTATTGGGCTGAGTAATGTATTTTTGGCTACAAGAATATGGCCGCGGAAGATCCTGCAGTGTGGGCATTGACCCGCCTTTGGGAAGGTACATTTGATTATGCAGGGTACTTAAAGGAAGTCCTTCACTACGCATGTCAGCCCTGAGGAAGTCACATGATACTGTGACGCAACGCGTCGGCCCGACGTAGTGACGTACTTCCGGCGTAGCGGCCATCTTGGTACACCTCTTTGCACTCTGTACACCCATGCAGATGACATCCAAGAGCATGTGGTAGGAGCCCTGATTTGCATTAAGTTGATGTAAGTATGCGCATTCTATTTTACCATTATTTTTGGCAATAAACATATTACACAATGGAAGCTTGTGTTTTATGTTACATGTGAGTGGTTAGCGCAGTACGTGACCCTGCCTGGAGAAGGAGCCAATATTGGAGTTCTGATCCCCAGAGGGAGATCTGCACATAGTGGGAGCTGTCGTTTGGAGTGATACTAACCTGGAGGATCTGTGAGAGGGATCCGATTAAAACGCTTTGACTCGCAAGGGTCGAGTCTGTAAGGTGAGAGGCTAATTCAGCCAGTGAACGGATGATACTTTTGTACAGCCATCAACCCACGATTTTACACGGATATCAGCACGAGTTGTTTTGTTCACTTGAGCGTGATTATTGAAAGTTGGACTTTAAAACGCATGAAAATAGATCATTGTGTGTATACTATTGCACTAATTAGAGTTCACATTTGCACATGAGGTTGTTTTATCCACTTTATGGGATTTGTGTAGTTGTGTATATATATATATTAGTGCACATTGTGTGTTTATGCAAATTTGTTAAAACACGCACTGTTATATCAGTAAAAAGAACTGTTTTTTTCACCATCACTATAGGAGCCTTTTTTGTGTTTTTTGTGTTTTTTATAAGCACGAGGTTATTTATAGTAGACACGTTTATTCACTTATAATTGAGGGGATTTATTTGCACATTGATTTATTTGAATATAAGCGATTAGCGCTACATTTTTTTCACAATTTAATTTTTGAGGATCATTGGATATATGATTTAATGTTGGCAGCTTCTCGCTATTAATATTATTGTTTAAAATCATCTTGAGCGCAGGAGGTTCACACCACTATCACTAAATGGCGGACCGCGGTCCAGACATTGACCGAATGATAGTCCTACCTGGACTGTGGCTCTACCATTTACCAGCCTGGGTGTCATTTCCCGTGTGATATCCTCCTTCTCCCACTGCTGCCACAGCATTCATTCTTTCAGTCAGGTACAATGCAGAAGGAGCGGCATGTCCAGGCAGAGGGCAGAAGCTGCCCAAAATTTCAAGTTAACCAGCCAGTGATTTGGTGCTAGGATGCAGGGTGGTCCTAGCAACCAATCACCTGCCTGTTAACAGGAAAAGTTGGGCAGCTCCTGCCCTCTGCCTGGACATGCCGTGCCTTCTACCTTCTGTGCGAGATTGGAAAAGAGAGGAGAGTTATGCTTGACAGGGGGAAATGGAACATAATGGAACAGAAATTCACTTAAAGAGGGCTGGGGTGAAAGTAAGGGGGGTTGGGCTTTGAAGGGGACTGGGATGCAAAGAAGGGGGGCTGTGAAGGGTACTGGGATGTAACAAGGATGCAAGGGGGTGGCTGTAAAGAGGACTGGAGTGCAAGTAAGGGGGCTGTGAAGGGGACTGGGGTGCATGTTAGGGGGGCTGTGAAGGGGATTGGAATGCAAGTAAGGAGGCTGTAAAGGGGATGCTGTGAAGGGGACTGGGGTGCAAAGAAGGGGGGGGCAGTGAACAGGACTGCAGTGCAAGTTAGGGGGCTGTGAAGGGGACTGGGGTCCAAATAAGGGGGGGGGCTGTAAAGGGGACTAGGATGACTGGGATACAAGCAGGGGCGGACTGACAACTCATGGAGCCCCCAGGCAATACGGGATCATGGAGCCCCTGTGTCCTTGCCAAAACTCAAAAAAGCCTATGAAAAAGGTACCAGGGGCATCTCATGGGGCCCCCTACTGACCCTGGGCCCTCGGGCAGTGCCCAAGTTTCCAAATGGTCAGTCCGCCCCTGGATACAAGTAAAGGGGCTGTGAAGGGGACTAGGGTGCAAGCACGGGGCGGGGGGGGGGGCTGTAAAGGGGACTGGGATACAAGGAAAGGGGGCTGTGAAGGGTGCTGAGATGCAAGTAAAGGAAAGCTGGAATGGGGACTGGGGTGCAAGGGGGGACTATATAGGGGACTGGGGTGCAAGGAAAGCGGGTTTGTGATGTGATATGGGGGCTGAGGACATTGATGTAAAAGAGGGAGGTCTGTGATGTAAGGGAAGGGGCTTTGATGTGAAGGGGGGCCAGCAGAGGGCATTGAAGTGAAGGAGGGGCTGTGATGTAAAGGAATGCTGTATTGCAAAGGGGGGGGGTGCTGTGATGTAAAGAGGGATGTATTGTAAAGGGGGATGCTGTGGTGTAAAGAGAGTGCTGTAATGTGAAGGGGTGGCTGTATTTTAAAGGGGGGGGGGGTGCTGTGCTGTAAAGGGGGCTGTATTGTAAAGGGGGTGGTTTGATGTAAAGAGGGGGTTCTGCGATGTAAAAGGGAGTGCTGTAATGTAAAGGGGGGGGGGGAACTGTGATATGAAGAGGGCTAAGATGTATTGGGGAGGACTGATGACACTGATGTAAAGGGGAAACTGTAATATAAAGGGGTGGGGCTGTGATATGAAGGATCGAGTCTTAGCACAAACATGAGACTTGGACCTCTGCTGGATGAAAATTTTAATGACCAGACCTCTGTGAATTTTAATTCAGTACCCCTGGTTTAGTGGTTTTTTCCCCCCTACGGGAGTGTTTGCATTAAAAAAACTTGTAAATGTGTGCAAGGAACTGCATGCAAGACTTATCTTATAAACTTTTTTTATAACATAATAGGTTTATGAAAAGCCAAAACTTTGAAGTGTATTGAATTATTGAAACCCCGCCAGTTTATTATTTCTGACTGTGTACCATTGAAGCTGAAGAAATACATTTTCCTTCATTTCCTATTTCAGAGATGAAGCACAGAGTCAGTCTCCCAAAGTGCGGGGAATTCCCCTCTTATACAACTGTAACAGGTGTCCCCATTGGATGATTTACACCTACCTCTTGTTAAGGGGACTATTTTAAATTTTTGTATTTCCCCTCACTTTCTTTCTTGGTGACACAGGTCACCAGTACAAATAGAGAGGTAAATCTCTGCAATGGGGACCATGACAGCAAATAAATTGACAGAGTGTCTAACCCACCCCCACTCTATCCAAATCTGAAATAAAGATTTTATCTAGAGATGCAGTACATATTAATGTTAATATATTGCAACAATAGCAAAAATTTGTAGAGCATTTTAATGACTCCATTATGAAAAAGTCTGAATCACCAGGAGTGGAATTCTTACCCTGTCTCGACGACTTGCTATTTCAGCCTTAATTTGATAAGGATCATATTTTGTGTTTGTAGAGAATCCCGAAAAAGCTAGAGGAAAATTATAAGCACAATATGAACACACAGAAAAAATACAAAATATCACATTACAATTTTAAGTAAAGAAGGCCAAGTTCACGTAAGATTCAGTAGCCTGTCAATGCAAACTAGGAGCTAGCAGTTTAGAAGATCTCCCAAAATCATGCCGTATCTAAGCTGTCAGCTTGTTCCTTTACTCTGTGGTTAGCTGGGTGCAAAGCCCAGGAGCCTGTTCCCACTCAGTGCAAACACTCAGCTTCAAACAATGACCCACACACCAATGATGTCACAAGAACGCAAATTATATTGTTCAATAGCATACACTGAATGTTTCAACTTTAGGTCTGCCCCTCTAATGCGCTTTACCCATCCAGGATTAGAGATGTGATGTGATGTCATTGGTGTGTCGCCCATTGTTCGATAATCAAGAATTTGTTCCTGAAGGAATATTCTAGCAATATAGCAGGTAGCCTGTTCCTATCATTGCACAGATATTATCATAAGTCCTTATGTTACAGCATTACTCAGCAGTCACATGACCAACTCCAGCTTTTAGTCTTATGTATGACCATGGCGGTGGGAAGGTGTGAAACCTTAGTGGCATGTCACTGACTGTGTTGTTGACACTACGTCCCGAACTCCCAGCAACCCTTGCCACCTATCTCACTGCTGTGAACATAGACTTGAGGCTGACTAAGAATGAGCAGGGTGATGTGTGCCAACTACTAAAAGACTACAGGCATGCCGTACAGGAGAGTGCATGAAAAGGTGACAGCACCACTTATGCATTGCAAGGCATTGTGTGAGGGTTGTCACCCTACTACAGAAAGCCTCACAGGCAATAATATAAAAACTGAAAACAGAGCATCAAACAATCATCTTAAGAGTCCATAAAAAATACTGACAATAATAATTTGAAAACAGGAAGACAAGCGGGAGACAATGCATTTCAGGGGCCAATAAAATCTCCCTTCATCAGGGCTGAAATAATGTAGCAAAAAACTCTACAGGACTCCTGAAGGGACAAGCACATCTATCACATCCATTAAGACAATTCCCTTTTTTTCTCCTGACAGAGATCTTCCTTCAGGAATACCTTTTAAAAAGAGTCCAATAGAGTTTTCTGCTACATAATATCATCCTCAGTGTCTCAGGCATTAACTGACAACAAGACTGCCAGTGCTATAGGCTATTAAGTGCAGCTCCTGACCCTGATTTGTCATTCCCAGTGGAAAGAAGGCATCATGCAAAGCACAAGGTAATATTGGCAAACATCTGGAAATTTTAGAGACAGTATATATCTATAAAGTCAATATAAAAATAAACAACAGAGAGATGAGCACCACTCCCAAGCTCTTAGATTGGCCTGCTAATTGTGCTGTTGGGAGCTCAAACGTTAGAAAAGCTCATCTCAGCTCTATGAAAGTCCACAGCCAAGAGAAGACCTATTGTGTACCAATGTTTCCAGTGTAGTAAAAACTTTCTTGCAATGGACAGATACAACATGGAGCCCTGCCTGGAACTTCCTCTGTTGATGCATTTAATCCACAAGTAGACTTAATAATAGGAAAAGCCATACAAATGTAAATGGCAGTAAACGTAAGGAACTGCTGTTCAAATAACGTTTTCCTAATGATAATGTTAGTTTTCTGGCTTTCTGCTTTAATGTGAATTTTCTGATCTGCATACTTGTTCTATGTTGGTAAGTCAGAAAATACTGAAGAATGTGCCTCAGAATAGCAGCTTGGCAACTGGAAATTGCAGAAGGAGATCACTTATGGTAGCAATAACCCTAACTTTTCATCATGCCAGAATTGAAAAATTAAGCCTGGACAGGAGCACAGGCTTCTGCCTGCAGTGGGATGTATATGGTGCTCACTGTATTCTGCCTGCCGTGGGATTTACATGGTGACAACCGTATTCTGCCTGCCGTGGGATTTACATGGTGACAACCGTATTCTGTCTGCCGTGGGATTTTCATGGAGATGACCGTATTCCGTCTATAGTGGGATTTACATAGTGCTCTCTGTATTCTGCTTGCAAAGGGATTTACATAGTGTTCACTGTATTCTGTCTGCAATGGTATTTACCTTGTGCTCACTGTATTCTGTCTGCTGTGGGATTTACCTTGAGCTCACTCTATTCTGTCTGCAGTGGGGTTTACATTGTGCTTACTGTATTCTGTCTGCAGTGGATTTTACATGGTGCTCACTGTATTCTGCCTGCAGTGGAATTTACATGGTGCTCACTGTATTCTGTCTGCAGTGGGATTTACATGGTGCTCACTGTATTCTGCCTGTATTGGGATTTACATGATGCTCGCTGTATTTTGTCTGCAGTGAGATTTATATAGTGCTCACTGTGTTGTGTCTGCATTGGAATTTACATGCTGTTCACTATATTCTGTCTGCAGTGGAATTTACATGGTGCTTACTGTATTGTGTCTGCAGTGGAATTTATGTGGTGATCACTGTATTCTGTCTGCAGTGGGATTTACATGGTGCTGACTGTATTCTCTCTATCGTGGGATTCACATGGTGCTCACAATATTCTGTCTGCAGTGGAATTTACATGGTGCTCACGGTATTGTGTCTGCAGTGGTATTTACCTTGTGTTCACTGTATTCTGTCTGCAGTGGTATTTACCTTGTGTTCACTGTATTCTGTCTGCAGTGGGGTGTACATGGTGCTCACTGTATTGTGTCTGCAGTGGGATTTACATGGTGTTCACTGTATCCTGTCTGTGGTGGTATTTATATGATGCTTACGGTATTGTGTCTGCAGTGGTATTTACCTTGTGTTCACTGTATTCTGGCTGCAGTGTGGTTTACATGGCGCTCATTGTATTCTGTTTGCAGTGTGGTTTACATGGCGCTCACTGTATTCTGTCTGCAGTGGGATTTACATGGTGCTCACTGTATTGTGTCTGCTGTGGGATTTACTTGGCGATCACTGTATTCTGTCTGCAATGGGATTTATAAGGTGCTCATTGTAATGTGTCTGCAGTGGGATTTACATGGTGCTCACTGTATTGTTTCTGCACAGGGATTTACATGGTGTTCCCTGTATCCTGTCTGCAGTGGTATTTACATGGTGCTCGTGGTATTATGTCTGCAGTGGTATTTACCTTGTGCTTACTGTATTCTCTCTGCAGTTGGGTTTCCATTGTGCTCAATGTATTCTGTCTGCAGTGGGATTTACATGGTGCTCAGTGTATTCTGTTGTAAGTGGAATTTACATGGTGCTCACTGTATTCTGTCTGCAGTGGGATTTACTTTGTGTTCACTGTATTCTGTCTGCAGTGGGGTTTACATTCTGCTCACTGCATTGTGTCTGCAGTGGGATTTACAGTGCCTTAAAAAAGTATTCATACCCCTTGAAATTTTCCACATTTTGTCATGTTACAACCGAAAACGTGTATTTTATTGGGTTTTTTGTGACAGACCAACACAAAGTGGCACATAATTGTGAAGTGGAAGGAAAATGATAAATGGTTTTCAGAATTTACAAATAAATATGTGAAAAGTGTGGCATGCATTTGTATTCAGTCCCCTCTGTCTGCAGTGGGATTTACTGTACATGGTGTGTATTCTGTCTGCAGTGGGATTTACATGGTGCTCACTGTATTCCGTCTGCAGTGGGATTTACATGGTGCTCACTGTATTGGTGCTGCAGTGGGGATTTACATGGTGCTCACTGTATTCCGTCTGCAGTGGGATTTACATGGTGCTCACTGTATTCTGTCTGCAGTGGGATTTACATGGTGCTCACTGTATTCCGTCTGCAGTGGGATTTACACTATTCAGATATTTATTTGTATAAAAAAATTTGAAAGCCATTCTTTCATTTTCCTTCCACTTCCCAATTATGTACCACTTTGTGTTGGTCTATCACATAAAATTCCAATAAAATACATTTACGTTTTTGGTTGTAACATGACAAATGTGGAAAATGTCCAGGGGTATGAATACTTTTTCAAGGCACTGTACATGGTTCTCACTGTATTCCGTCTGCAGTGGGATTTACACTTTTCAGATATTTGTAAAAAAATTTGAAAACCATTTTATCATTTTTATTCCACTTCCCAACTATGTGCCACTTTGTGTTGGTCTATCACAGTGGTGGGCAACCTTTTTTTTCAACTGAGCCAAATCTCGCCAAAACCACGATTGAAATTTATTTTGAGAGCCACATTTTTAAAAGTGAAAATACATAGGATGGTACACTGTTTTTAGTTTCAATAAGTTTTTTATAGTAATTCATCCCCCATAGTAATTCATCCACCATAGTAATTCATCCCCCATATAGTAATTCATCCCCCATAGTAATTCATCCCCCATAGTAATTCATCCCCCATATAGTAAATCCCCCATATAGTAATTCATCCCCCATATAGTAATTCATCCCCCATAGTAATTCATCCCCCATATAGTAATTCATCCCCCATATAGTAATTCATCCCCCATAGTAATTCATCCCCCATATAGTAATTCATCCCCCATAGTAATTCATCCCCCATATAGTAATTCATCCCCCATAGTAATTCATCCCCCATATTAATTCATCCCCCATAGTAATTCATCCCCCATAGTAATTCATCCCCTATAGTAATTCATCCCCCATATAGTAATTCATCCCCCATATAGTAATTCATCCCCCCCATAGTAATTCATCCCCCCATATAGTAATTCATCCCCATAGTAATTCATTCCCCATATTAAGTCCCCAAGTCCCCCCTGTGTCAATTCACTTACCTTTGCTCCGCGCGTTCCTCTCGCCGTGTTCCCGCGCCGTTCCGGTCTTCAGGGCGGACTGTGAGAGGAGCCTAGCTCCCCTCCCCTCACGCTCGTCACGCTGCCCCGCCTACACACATCCTGACAGCCACATCCGCGGGCCGGATTAAAAGGTCCTGACTTTTGGGGCGGCCGCCCGAGAGGAGGGAGGGGAGCGGGCGCCCCCGGCACACAGAAGAGCCGCATTAGCGTGTGTAAAAGCCGCATGTGGCTCACGAGCCGCGGCTTGCCGACCACTGGTCTATCACATAAAATCCCAATACAATACATTTACAAGTTGTAACATGACAAAATGTGGAAAATATCCAGGGGTATGAATACTTTTTCAAGGCACTGTACATGGTACTCACTGTATTCTGTCTGCAATGAGGTTTACATTGTGCTCACTGTACTCCATCTGCAGTGCAATTTACATGGTGATCACTGTATTGTGTCTGCCATGGGATTTACATGGTTCTCACTGTATTGTGTCTGTTGTGGGATTTATGTGGTGATTACTGTATTCTGTCTGCAGTGGGATTTACATGGTGCTGACTGTGTTCTGTCTATCGTGGGATTCATATGGCGCTCACTATATTCTATCTGCAGTGGAATTTAAATTGTGTTCACTGTATTCTGTCTGCAGTGGGGTTTACATGATGATCACCGTATTTTGTCTGCAGTGGGATTTACATGGTGCTCACTGTATTCTGTCTGCAGTGTGATTTACATGGTGCTGACTGTATTGAGTCTGCAGTGGGATTTACATGGTGATCTCCGTATTCTGTCTGCAATGGGATTTTCATGGTGCTTACTGTATTGTGTCTGCCGTGGAATTTACATGCTGCTCACTGTATTGTTTCTGCAATGGGATTTACATGGTGATCACCGTATTCTATCTACAGTGGGATTTACATGGTACTCACTGTATTCTGTCTGCCATGGGATTTACATGATGTTCACTGTATTCTGTCTGCAGTCGCATTTACATGGTGCTCACATTATTCTGTCTGCTGTGGGATTTACATGGTGCTCACCGTATTGTGTCTTCAATGGGAGTTACATGGTGCTCACCGTATTCTGTCTGAAGTAGATTTTACTCAGTAATCATTGTATTCTATCTGCAGTGGTATTTACATGATGCTCACTGTTCTGTCTTTAGCAGATTATACTTGGTAATCACTATATTTTGACTGCAGTGGATTATACAACTCAGATAAAGCTAAACTGAAAGTTTCAGACTTAGGCTGGCCATAGACGGGCCGTTTATTGGCCGAATTGTCGGCCGATAAACGAAAAATCGGTCGGTGCCGTTGCCGATGCTGCCACCATTGTCCACGAAAAATAAACGATTTCATGGATTGACCGGCATGACCGATAAAAATAAATGAGAAGATCCACGAAAAATGGCCGACGGGCTGGCCCCACTAACGGCGTGAATATCGGCAGGTTTTTCGTGCGGACAAAAAATCGGCCAATAAACGACCCGTCTATGGCCTGCATTTGTCAATACTCAGTATAACACTATACCCTGGTAGCCCTCCTCGTGATTTTTCACGATGTTCACAGAGTTTGCATGCCATAACAAATCTGTTATATATTGCAGCACTGCTTTTTTACCACAGCTATAGCATGTGCTACTTAGTATTAGTAGCTTGTTTTTACTTTTTGCCTGGAATTTTCCTGTAACTGTAAAGAAATATCCTGCACCTTGTCTCCCACCATCCTCCTCACCATATTTCCAAGTACAAGCAAAGACCTCAGATGTAGGCACACCTTAGCTGCCATTATGTCTTATGAAATAGTCACACAGGTGCAAGGCCTAGCCATGGAGTCAATCTAGTATAATCTTGGTGCTAATACCTAGGAAGTCCATTATTTTCTATGACTGAGAACATATAGACTTGCCTGAACACTTTCAAGAATTATTATAAAATATGAACCAGCACTGACAAGACTGTATGCAGTTTGCATGGTTAGGATGACAGCAAGAAATTGTGATTCAGTGTTGCAAAACAGATGTCAATATTGTTTTAACCACAAGAAATGTCACGTCGGTAACACATGGCACAAATCATTTATGTAAAAGAATTTTACATCTGGACACTCTGCTCTCTGTTACTATGTAGATAATGCAAGTGTGACCAGGGTCATTTCTTATGCATACCTCATCGGTTTCTTCTACAGATTTTTCAACAGCTATTCTTTATATGACATGTTTATTATATTTGCATTTGTTATACGGTATTTGCAAAGTAGGATCTCCATCCTACAGCTGTTTAAGGTTTGGATGAACAACTTAAAATCTGATTTGAGATATTACCAATCTAAATAAACAATTAGCTGAAAAATTGTAATATGGTTCTACTGTTTCTTTCAGGAAAACACTTAAAAACTAGAGGAATGCTCCTCTTGGACTGTTTTCATTGAAACAAGTGTCATCCTTTTGTTCTGGTGACAACTGTAAAATTGTAGATTTGCAATCACTTCTCCATCCCTTTCCCCACTCTATGAAAAACTAAAAAAAAAAGGTTTAACTATGTATACACTTTACCAAATATTGCCCTGAGAAATACACAACAATAACACACAGAGAACAAATTCAGAATTTATTTTTTTACTAACTTGACATTTTCAGCTCATCTAATGCACCACTTATTCAGTAGGTAGAGCTAATGTGAAAGTGCCAAGCTGATTAAAGTGGAATTCCAGCTTACAACTTACTAGCCATGAAAATGTTCCCTCCCTTCTCCAATCACCCACGCTGACTAGCCTGTGTAAAGCCAGCCACAGATGATAGCGTTTGCTCTCCAGAAAAGAAAATAGCTTGATTCCCAGATCAACACAGTCAGTGTTGTCCCGCTGAGCTATTGTGTACTCTCAGCGGGGGGATTCAGCAATCCCTGATGGGAGAACACAGTGATTCTTGCAATATTTGCATGGAGGCTCCAACAGGCTGGTTCTACCCAGGTCGCACAACAATTGAATTGGATACAACCAGCTTGACCAAAGATGGTTCGAATCTCAGCCAGATTAAGAAAGATGTATATACTTACCTATTTTCAGGCTGCTCCGGTCTAGTCACATGACCTCCCCTGTGTCAGCCAATGACAACTGCAGGGGAGAGAAGAAAGTGCTCTAACACAGGCTTAAGCGGTAAACATCACTGATAGACTTCAAAGGGTCATCCATTGCCGGCACTCTCTCTTGTAGCCGTGCTGGATAACACAGGGGAGCCGGATCACGTACAGTATACATACAGTATTTCTGACACATACATATATCCTCCATATGTGCTCTTTATAGAACACTTCTTGTCTTTTGGAGCAGTTTATTTGAATGATGTATTATGCATTTTATGTTTTTGAGATCTGATATATACATACTGTATGTATAAATATGTTGGTCTATATTGTATATCCCTTTAAGAAACACCTGTATTATAGCAAGTTGTGTATATAAGAAATCCTCTTCCCCACTCTCCCTCTCTAAATGATTAAGACTGATAGAGTAAAACATCTTAAGGCCTCATGCACACTGCTACTCCTAAGGCTGCATGTACACGGGACATTTGGAAAACACTTCTGAACGATGGAAACTGACTGCTGGAAAACGTAGGTTAACAGCTTCCATACCGGGCACTTTTATCCCCTTCCTGCCCAGGCCAATTTTCAGGTTTCAGCGCACTCACACTTTGAATGACAATTGCGCTGTCATACAACATTGTACCCAAACAAAACTTTTAACATTTTCTTCACACAACTAAAGCTTTCTTTTGGTGGTATTTAATCACCGTTGGGGTTTTTATTTTTTGCTAAATTAACAAAAAAAGTCCAAACATTTTGAAAAAAACAGAAAGTTTTTCTTTGTTTCTGTTATAAAAGCTGGCAAATAAATAATTGTTCTTCATAAATGTAGGCCAAAATGTATTCTACTACATTTCTTTGGTGAAAATAACTCAAATTAGGATGTATTACTTAGTCTTTAGGAAAGATTTAGAGTTCACAAACTATGGGATATATCTGAATATTGATCAATCCTGAATTACTGACGGCCAATCTAATTTCTTGAGGTCCAAGAATGTCAGAACAGTACAGATATCCACCAAATGACCCCTTTTTGCAAAGTAGACAGTCCGACGTATTTCATAAGAGGCATGGCGAGTTTTTTGAAGTTGTAATTTTTTTTGTCATAATTTTTCGAAAATGAAATTAAAAAAATGATTTTCACTATTTTTTTTTACATACTGTCACCAGTGCAGTACAGCGTCATCATATAACTGGCATGGCGGTGATCAGGGACACTGACTTGTGACAGTATGAAAAAAAATAAATAAATTGATATTTTTTTATATTACATTTTTTCTCTTTAAGATTTTTTTTCATATTTCACTATGACCAAAGTAGTATAATGTTACCATAGTAACATTGTACTACTTTGGGGAAGTGATCAGTATTTTTTTTTTTTTTACACAATTTGGTCAAAAAATGCTTGCATTCCCTGAAGTGGACATAGGGTTAAGATGTCTCTTGAATCAGAGTCTCCCTTCAATGGTTAACCACTTCCCGACCGGCCGTTGCATATAAACGGCCGGACGGTGGCAGTGCAGGGTCGGGTGGCCGTTTACAAACGGCCTCCCCGCACCCTGCTTGTGCGCGCTCCCTGGGAGCGCGCAGCACTGCGATCCGGTTGCCGCTGTGTCCTCTGGACACAGTGAAACACCGATCGTCGGATGGGACCTCTGTACGAGGTCCCGATCATGTGATCACTGATTGGCCAATCAGTGATCACATGCAAAGTAGTAAGCAATGTGTCACTTGTGACATCATTGCTTACTACGTGTGAAATCTGTGAATGATCACAGAGGTCACATGGTACAAGGCTATTCACAACAGCCTTGTACCATGTGACAAGCACAATCACAGCTCACTCAGTACTTCTCAATGAGTGCAGGAATGCACTGAGAGAGAAAGAGAAATGATTGCTTTTACATCCTATATGGGTGTAAAAGCAATCAGTGTAAAAAAAAAAAAAAAAATCTTCATCACCCCCCACAAATAGTACAGTGTCACCATGGTGACACTGTACTGCTAGGGTGACAGTATGTAAAAAAAATTAATAAATAAAAAAAAAACAAACAATAACATAAAAAAATAAAATAAAAATGTAAAAAGAAATGTTTAAAAATTATACTTTTTGGTTATAAACTAATTTGTTTATTTTTTTTTTTACTAAAAAGATAACGGAATAAATTTTGGCAAAGATTTATGATGAAATATTATTTATTTGCAAAATTTTATAAAAAAAACACTTTTGTTCAAAATTTTTGGACTTTTTCATTTACATAGCAAAAAAAATAAAAATCCCAGCGGTGAATAAATACCACCAAAATAAAGCTTTATCTGTCTCAAAAAAATGGTAAAAAATTAATTTGGGTACAGTGTTGCATGACTGCGCAATTGTCATTCAAAGTGTGATAGCGCTGAAAGCTGAAAATTGCCCTGGACAGGAAGGGGGTAAAAGTGTCCGATCTGGAAGTGGTTAACGGCCTCCTTATTACCTCCACCTCCACTTAGCATACATATATTTAAAAAAAAGGCAAAAAACAATAGTGCTTTATTCTTATAAACACTTGTTTTCCAAAATATTAAAAATTGGCAAATCACATTGTGCAGGTGCTCCATTGCACCAAATATCATGCGCATAATATACCGATATCCAACACTGTATGTATGTATAAATCTCCCCTTGCTCTCACATACACGATCTGTCATACCAGTTCGTCATCAAGCCCCTCCCCTATGCGGTACGCCTCAGGGTTATGTGGCATCCTCAGTGATATGACCATATCCCATGGATCATATTCCCCTGAGGAAGCCACGTGACCCTGTAGCGTAACATGTAGGGGAGGGTCTTGATGACATCATGGCGCTCGCGGTCAACTGACAAATTGGTATGACGAATCGTGTATGTGAGAGCAAGGGGAGATCTATACATACATATGGTGTTGGATATTGATATATTATGCGCATGATATTTGGTGCAATAGAGCACATACACAATGTGAGTTGCCAATTTTAATAAACAAGTGTTTTTAAGGATAAAGCACTATTTGTTTTTGTGTTTTTGTCTATTTTTTGATATGTATATGCTGAGTGGAGGAGGTAATAAGGAGGCCGTTAATCATTGAAGGAAGACTCTGATTCAAGAGACATCTTAACCCTATGTCCACTTCAAGGGCCACAAGATTTATTTGACCAAACTTAATGTGAGGTCAAAAGCTCCAGGTGAGGGCACATCTGGTGTTTTGGTGCTGGATGAACACAAGTGGGATTAAGAAGATATGGAGTGATTAGGGGAAAGCAATTTACTGTTTGGGGATTGTTAAGAAGAAACACTAAAGAGACTCATGGCATCATTGAGATTATTCATGGTTTATTTTGAAGTGTTTTGTTCTGAGGATATGATTGATGGGTTATTTATATTGTAAGGAGAGCGTGGCACTGTAATTTTGTTTAAGGCCTTCATCTTGACTCATGGTAAGAATAGACCTGTACATTATAACACTTTAACAGACTGATCATAGCTATTTTCAGAAGTTAAAAGTGTTACTAAACCCACAAAAGTAAAATCAGTATGTATATGCAGTAAAGCATGCTGGTTACACTCACTGTGGAACCTAAGGGGTTAATCTTCTATATTGTGTAAAAAAGCTGTTTGATCCTGACTTCTCTGATCCTCCCCTTCTTCCAGTGTCCCCCTTTTATCTCCTGATAAAAAATATTGTGTGGAATCATTCTGTGCATGCTCAGTTTGGTGTGTATTGCTAGAGAGGTTTTTTTTTTTTTCTTCGGAGAGTGCATCTGATCAGCACAGGGCCAATCAGCACTATACAGACAGAGGTCAGGGGTCCTGCATCTTCCTAGAGCAGAATGATAACTCCAAGCTTTAACATGTGCTCGGCTAGACAATGATAGAAATCAAAAGACTGATCTAACTGCTGATTAGAAAAGGTATTTAGCAGTTTATATTTACTAAAATAATTGCACTTCCATGTTGTGTGTACTGTGGGAGACCAAATAGAGTGAATTCAGGGTCCTGGGTTTAGTAACACTTTAATATCAAACTACAAATATATTCCCTATTGCAATTTTCTTCACTATTAGAGCTTTCAAATGTTCCTTTTCATGGCAACAATTTAAATTGTGATGACAATTCATATGTTCTGCAACTGCTTAAAAATGCTCCCATGACATAATGGTCCTTGATAGTTTTATGTCCATTCATACAAATAACGCATGATATGTGGGTGGCTATGATTCACTAAGGGAATATCCACAATATGCTCTAAAAATCATTTCTGTTATTTATTAAATGACGAGTGTAGCCTTGTGCGCAGACCACTTCTACCAGGAAAGGAAGAAATAGTATGTGATTTATTAGTTTGAAAACAAAAACTTATTAACCTTTTTAGTTATGTATGCGCCATCACCAACTCACACTGAGCTGTGAGGCCAAACATGTGGGCTGCAGTAGTTTATATAAAGAATGGCTTTGTCTGTTTGGCCTACACACATTGGCCAGTGCCAGATGACATTCTTATCTGCAAACTGAAAAGCAGTTAGCAACTAATTCACATTTCTACAACAAAATACTCCAAATTTGGAAAACTGTCTTAAAAGGAGAACTCTAGAGTAAATATTGAGGTTGTAATTGCTAACCTCCTTTTATGAAAATACTCATTGCCTGGGATGTAGATTAGGAGTTCTGACATCTGATCTGTATACTTGTTACAGGTCAGTGACACAGAACATATTGGAGTCATTGGATCAGCATTATAGCCAAGGATCTAGCATTTTCTGAGGGAGGTCAATAATGGGAGAACAGTATTTTTCTGATTGTGTGACCTGGACTCTTTAGTTAATAGGGACATTACAAATTACAAAAACATTTGAAAGTGTACAATGCCTTTAAAGTGATTGTAAACCCTTATATATACCCAGTGAAACAAAGCCTCCTACATGAGTTGTACCTGTTTATCTGTAGCCCTCTCTTCTCTACACCCATTCAAAGTACAAAATATTTAAATCTTGTTTGAGAGTTTAAAAAAAAAGGGGAGCAGAGAACTGAAATGACACACTGTTGACATCCTTGAGAGCTGATTTGAGGGAAGGGACACACCCCCTCCACACAGCTCACAGGAAAGAGTTGAGGCTGTCAATCTGCTGGAGTTCTCTCCCCTGTCACTATTTTTTTCTTGGTATCAGGAAAACTTGTCAGAAGTGATTCATGCTGATAGCAGAGGAATGAAGCAGCAGACAGAAATGACACTCAGTGCACTGGATTAAGACAAGTACACACTACAGAGGGACATGCTTTCTTCATATTTCATCTCAGTGGTTTACAACCACTTTAACCATAATATTTTTCTTGCTTAGTATTACTTACTGAGTCATTTTAGGCAACAAGCAAAAGCAATCAGTGAGCTATTAATGTGATTTTGTGCAAACACTGTATTTTTGCCTAAATCAAAGAAATCACCCAATTCAACTTAAACATATAAACTCAAGAACAAAACAGTCCTTGGATGTGATGGCTGCATTAATCTTTTTTTCAGGGTAAGCACAGAAAATACTTGCCAGATATGCAGTGTCCTTATCACTTCCAGTGGGAAGAACTGTAACAGAACTGCATAAAACAATCTTACCTTTGTTCTGTACACTACTAATCCCATCAACCCTCATGCTATCTGCAGAGATACAGTACAGCACTACAGTGAGTGAGTCTACTTACTAGTTACACTTAGGGATAGGAAGTGTGTGATATTCAGGATTACCAGGTGAAATATAGGAGAAAAGGCCTGAGAAAAAAAACTATTGCAGCCACCTCATCAACAGACAAATAAGCTGCATTATATCACATTTGTGTTCTTGGGTTTAGGTACTCTTTAACCACTTCCCGACCGGCCGTTGCATATAAACGGCCGGACGGTGGCAGTGCAGGTTTGGGTGGCCGTTTATAAACGGCCTCCCCGCACCCTGCTTGTGTGCGCTCCCTCAAAGCGCGCAGCACCGCGATCCGGTGCCCACTGTGTCCTCCGGACACAGTGAAACACCGATCGTCGGACGGGACCTCTGTACGAGGTCCCAATCATGTCATCACTGATTGGCCAATCAGTGATCACATGCAAAGCAGTAAGCAAGATGTCACTTGTGACATCATTGCTTACTACGTGTGAAATCTGTGAATGATCACAGAGGTCACATGGTACAAGGCTATTCACAACAGCCTTGTACCATGTGACAAGCTGTGACCAATCACAGCTCACACAGTACTTCTCAATGAGTGCAAGAATCCACACAGAGAGAAAGAGAAATGATTGCTTTTACATCCTATATGGGTGTACTGCTAGGGTGACAGTATGTAAAAAAAAATTAAAAAATAAGAATATAAAAAAATAAAATAAAAATGTAAAAAACAATGTTTAAAAATTATAATTTTTGGTTATAAACTAATTTGTATTTTTTTTTTTTTACTAAAAAGATAACGGAATAAATTTTGGCAAAGATTTATGATGAAATATTATTTATTTGCACAATTTTATAAAAAAAACACTTTTTTTCAAAATTTTTGGACTTTTTCATTTAAATAGTAAAAAAAATAAAAATCCCAGCGGTGAATAAATACCACCAAACTAAAGCTTTATCTGTCTCAAAAAAATGGTAAAAAATTAATTTGGGTACAGTGTTGCATGACCGCGCAATTATCATTCAAAGTGTGATAGCGCTGAAAGCTGAAAATTGCCCTGGTCAGGAAGGGGGTAAAAGTGTCCGGACTGGAAGTGGTTAAGAAGACCCTGTAAGGCCAGAAATAAGCACCACAGAGGTTTGCTAAAAATGTACTTCCTGAAGCCGACACTGATGCAAATTTCTTTCTCTTTTTGTGCTTACTGTAAGAATTGCTTTGCAACTTCCATGGCAGGTTTGAATATGATTGGTGACAGGGGAAACTTATTAATTATTACATGAAGCTCACTGCATGTGAGGGGAAGCAAAAAACCTGAAATAGGTGTGTTTGGTAATTGTGCTTTCACATCACAAGCAGGGTCTCCCAGATCACCCAGTTACCAGCAAAAGAGGGATGCCTAGACAAATACCTGAATTTCTGAGAAGGAAGAGCTTACTGTATGCATTTTAAGCTTTATGTTTCAATTCTGAATATATTTTACTTTTAAATCAAGTCCAGCCTTAGGTTGGGCCAAAACTGATGGATGTCCTATCAAAACCAGTAAGCAGTGAGATATCTGTCTGTCCTTTACTGCAAAGTCTCATTTCAAGACCTGCCGCAATACTTTCCCTCTACTCTATATAGAGGAATGCAGAATATGGGCACTGGCAGTCACTTTGTCTTTCTCTATAAGGAAATTAGCACTTTTTACTCTCTAGGGACCAATTCTTGCCTAAACAACAATTAATTATTTTTAAATCGAGTTTTAAATATGTTTTATCATCTACTTGTAAAACATTGGGCTTTGCACAGGCGCCATTGTTCAGCACACTTAGCACTGGAATCTTGTGTTCAATCCCGCAAGAGGCAAATTCTGCATAAATGTTATGTGTTCTCTTTGGGTTGAGTATCTGTAAACTCAACATTCTGAATCACCTAATGGCAGAGCATACCTATAGGCTAAGCAGGCTTTAGTTGAAAATTCACACAAAGTGTTCACCATTTCCTTTGCTATATAATCAATCGTCAGATGACCACTCTGTCTCCTCTTATGCCCCATCCACGAAGATTTGGGAAGGGGGAGAGATTTCTCATAAAAACAGAGGCCAAACAAGCAAAGGGCTCTTTAGATTTCTGCTTTGTAGACTGCTTCTGTTTTGACAGCTATACACTTTACAAAACAAGAGCTGCTGTTAATCTACATGGCTGATACCAGCAGAAGACTATAGTGTGCAGGACACCGCACAGAAGACTATAGTATACAGGACAAAACACAGACATGGAGAAACACAAAGGTTAAGTGAACGTCTCTCTTTTTATCTGCTTTCAGTTTTGACATCACTTTCTATATTGGCCCACACCTGTTTACTTGCCCCAGGTGAGTTGCTTCTTTCCTCCCTATAGAGCATCACATGCTTGTAACATTCTTATTTATCCGCAGTTGTGAAAGGTGCCAATATGTACCTTGGGATTCTCGTCCTCCCTTTTTTTGTGACAATCTTGACTCTACTGGCAAGATCACCAGGGACAAAACAACATGGAGAGAAAACAGGAAGTAATTTAGGTATTTTGACATCACTTTAATATAGTGCATACAAGAAATCTTAGCATTGTATGTCGAAACAGTAAATGCTGATTTTTATTTTTGTTTACTCACACTTAAAAGTAAAACTATGACCTTTCACCCTTAAAAAAAGAATATGTGCTGCAGCATTTAATTAAAAGTGCTTCTTACAGTTTTCTCTCAGTTGCAAAGTCCTGGAACTACCCATTGAGCATGCTAGTGAAATTCACCTAATGCAGCTGCTTGTGATGGTGTGGCAACGATGTTGCACTGCCCATGAATTCAGGACAGAGTTGCCACTCTCATATATGCTATGTCTACAGTGGATGCAATAAATGCTGAAGGGAATGTAACTATCAGCATTAATAAAATGTGTGATGTTGAGCTGCTTGCCTATATTAAATGTGTAAAAAAATTAAATTACTAATAGTGAAACAATATATGTGCACCGTCCCCTCTCCACTTGCATTAAGGTAAAATTAAATAAATATGATGTTAACGGTCTGTTAAAGGTCCAATATACAGTATTGTGGTGTTTAGTTCATACAGTTCAAGTGTCGTATCAGAAACAATAATAATAGTGTAAATCTTGTTCTGTGATCATCCAGCACCAAAGGTAATAACCGTTGTGCCTCTAAACTTCACACAATATGTGCCACCTCTGTGCTCACATAACTCTCACCTCCAAGATGGTGTCATACAGCATGTACTGTACATGACAATCCACCCAGTTTCCAACAATATTTGGATCTTTCTACACCTTCAGAACACTAGGGACTCTCCACATGTACTTCCCGAAGGCTCTGTTTTTTTAAGGAGTAAGGTACCTCTAACCACTTGCACTCCTGAGGATTTACCCCCCCTTCCTGACCAGGCAATTTTTTGCGCTGTGGCGCTGCGTTACTTTAACTGACAATTGCGTGGTCATGCAATGCTGTATCCAAAAGAAATTTACATCCTTTTTTCCCCACGAATTGAGAAAAAAACAATATAAATGTCCAGCAAAAAATTTTTAAAAATCACATTTCCTCATAAATTTAGGCCAAAATGTATTCTTCTACATGCCTTAATAAAAATAATTTCAATTAATTTCAATACATGTAAATTAATCGGTTTATGTGAAAGTTATAACGTTTACAAATGGCGGTATAGATACTGAAATATTTTTTTCTACTAATAATGGTGGCGATCAGCGACTATTAGGGGGACTGTTAGACTGCGGCGGACATTCTCACACTGGGGGGAACTGACTTGGTGTCATTGTCATCCCCAGTGACACCAATAGAGTGATCAGTGCTAAAAAAAAGGACTGACACTGTACTAATGTTACTGGGCAGGAAGGGGTTAACATGAGGGGCGATCAAAGGGTTAACTGTGTGCTGGGAGTGTTTTACTGGGGAGCGGTGTGTTGGTGCTTCACTGTAAACACACTGCTCTGGATGGCTGTGCACAGCCATCCAGAGCAGTGTGTCTGAGCCGACAGGGAGGAGGACTGTTAGTAAACAAAGCAGCCCTCCTCCCTGTCGGAGATCCTTGGTAATCATCGTCTGGGACCCAGTGATTGACAGCCGCGGCAACAAATGGCAGCATGGGTAGGGTGCACACGTGGCTAACAGGCGCCCCCCTACCCGGAAATGCAAAATCACGTATAGATACGTAATTTTGTGCACTCGTGCCGCCCTGTAGCAGTATATCTGCTTTAGGGTGGCAGGGGAGAAGTTAAAGTGGTAGTAAAACCGAAAGGAAGAAAAAAAAAAAAAGAAAAGTCCCCTGCAAGGTAGTGTCAAAATATGCTAGTATGCATCGCATACTAACACATTATGTAAAACTTACATAAAAACAAAGCTTTCCAGCGGCGCACTGTCACCACTGCAGAGGCTTTCATTTTCACCCGGTCCTTCTTCAAGGTTCTAATCTCTGGCCGTCTGACAGGCCGGTCCGCGATGACGTCACTGGGCTAAGGCACGGGTGCACGTTTAGGAGATATTAATTTTCCCTACAGGTAAACTTTATTATAAGCTTACCTGTAGGTAAAATAAAATAAACGAGTTTACTACCCCTTTAAAGCTCGTTTATTCATGCTGCCATATTTGCCTTGCCCATGTGAAGGAAAGATACCAACAAGCCTCTTATGGTGTAGTATGTTAATAGTATAAATATTTGTTGAAAACGAAATGCACAATATCACGGTCACATTTGACTATCAGCATTGTCATTATGATTCATAAGCCTATAGCTTGTCAATCAGCACCTGGTCACTGCTTTCTGGATGACTAGTGCTGCTTCTGCTGCTAAACTGTTCCACTGTGAGCTGCAGTGCCTTTTAGGGAGAGCATGTTGCAAATGAAGATAGAATTCGGAGGTAAAGGAGTTTTTCTTTCTTCATGAGGCATTTCATAGTAACTAGATTTGTTACTTGCTTAGGCTTTCATACAGGAGCCTTTAGTTGTACTTTAATATTTCTGCCATGCGCTTCAAACCCCCCCTCCCCCCCAAAAATAAAAAAAACACAATCCAGTTTGCCTTTAGTTTAAGGGGACCCTAAAAGATTCTGTACATCTATGAACTTGTATATTGATGTAAATGGAATGTACATACGTAATACAATAGGAAATACTCAGGTACAAAGTTTCTTGTAGCAGTTAATTTAGATAAATGTTGATGTAGACATGGGGGTTGATTCACTAAAACTGGAGAGCGCAAAATCTGGTGCAGCTCTGCATAGAAACCAATCAGATTTCATGTTTGAACAAGCTGAAGTTAGAAGTTGATTGGCTACCATGCAACAGATTTTGTACTCTCCAGTTTTAGTAAATCTACCATAATGTTTTCCTTTATGCATTAAACTAAAAGCAGTCCATGCAATAAATTCATCCCATATAGTATAGCACTGCTGGATATATTAAGAGACTAGTCCAAATGTAATGCTTCTTCAAAACAAATGGTCCTTTTACTTACAGCTGGCATGGGAACGGTTGTCTTCATCACAGAGTTCATGTAGCTGCTGGAATTCTTTCTGTGCCAACTCAAACCGCTGCTGCTTGATTTGATAAATCTCTTTTTTAGCATTAAGAGCCTCCTGAGCGACAACTAAATATTCTTTCAACATCCGTTCCTGTTCTCTTCTCCACTGCTCTCGAGGGTCCTCAATTTGTGTAATCTCTTCATAAAAAGGAAACATGCAGTATTAGTCAAATTATCTCTAGAAATGCTTTGTAACCTAATGTACTAAACCATTATGTAAAAAAGAGTGTAAACTAACAATGATAAAGAGGACTGTTGATTGACTCTAACCGGAGCAAAACTGATTATAAAAGAACAACCTGGTTGGCTGATTTCATCAACTGCACCAATTTGTACACAAACAATAAAGCTGCAGTTTTGCCACATGCTTTAGGCTTCATGCACACTGGACGTTTCTCTATTTTGCTCGTAAAAGTATTAACTGCATTTATCTCGTTTCTCTATTCTCTATCTCGCTTGTAAAAGTATTAACTGCATTTGGCGACATCAAGTGTTTTGGCATTAATTAATTTAATTGGCAAAATAATATTTTTTTCTGACCATTGAAGTGAATAAATATGATCAAGCTCTAAATACACCTAGAGTTAACTTAGACGCATTTACAAGCGTTTCTTTTCTGCAAAAACACTGCTGCTCCTGGACGAACTGGTAATGTTTTTTTTTCTTTAGCCTCTAAACGTCTATGCCTCTAAACTCCTATAAAGTCTATGTGTGTGCATAGACACATAGGCTACATAAAGGGGCGTTTAGAGGCAAGAAAAAAAAAAACACCAGATACCCCTAGAGCAGCTGAAAAAACATACAGTGTACATGAGGCCTAAGACTGTCAATTAAAACCATCTTCTGTGGATGTGTGGCATGCTAGTACTATTATATACTACAGTAAGCATTTCTTATACCTGCTGAGATGTATCCAAGGCCTGAACAGACACATAGGTTAATCTTTAACCCCCCTGGTGGTATTCCCGAGTGTAGCTTGGGGTTAACTTTCAGCACCAGAAGCGGTAACCACGAGCTACACTCGGGATTACCCTGCAGCGTTGCTCTGGGATCCCACCAGCACTTACCTTGTCCTGCGCTCCCGCGATGTGCCCCCTGCAGCGTCCCCAGCCATGTCCTTCGGCCGATGCCAGCATCCGTCTTCTGGGTTCCGTTCCCTGCGAGTGTCGGGATATACGGGATGTCCAGGGGACGGACCAGTGGAAAATTAAAAAATGTACAAATGTGACATTCACTCAATACACTAAAATCTGATAGTATTACATTACTGTATCAAGCCATTTCACATACATTTTGTCCCGAGTGCTTTGTCCTGTGCCCTGCCTACATTTTTACTGTTCTTTCTGCCTGGAAAATGAGAAACGTCCATGGCATCCAAAAAGTGTCCCTTTAGGTCAAAAGCAGTTTTAGATCAGCTAGAGAACAGCGATAATAAATTAGGACCACTTGCAGATTTGAGTGATAATGATTCGTGGGGAAATTCGTCATCAGACACTGAAAAACAATTCTGTGACTGAGCTCAGCGATGTGCGAACTTGGTGCTCTATTTCAACTTTCAGTGTTTTTGGTTTGATTACATTATTGAATTAATTTTTTGTATTATATTATTATTTTTTATGATTATTTATTATATTATAATTATGATTTCGTGTTTCAAATTTTTTATCATACCCGGGATGTTTACTAGACTCTTGTTCAGACAGATTTCAGTTAGTTATTCCTAAGAATTACAGGCCTACAATAAAAAAACAACATATTTCCATGCAAAAAAATGTACCGCTTTGAGCACAGAAATACTGATATAATCATACCGCTAGGGAGGTTAAATCAGAGAACCACAATAACCAGTCACTGGCTATTACAGTACATTACAGCTTATCTCAATGGGAAGGTGAGGGGTTATGTACATTTTTGCGTCCCTGGTATCTCTGCTGAAAAAATATTTTCTATTTGTGCAATATGCACCACCTAGTGGTTCCATGTACGTAAGAATGACAAGGAAGACATTTTGTATATATTTATGTACTAACCCAACTTTCAAGTAACCACGAGTAAAGAAAGAGTGGCAGCCAAGTAGGAATGATAAAATAATTAACTATCCACTTTGGCTCTCACACCTGTTTACCCCCCTATGGATCAGACCATATTTTCACATTTCCGCTGTGTCTATTCATGAGTCTATAATTTTGTAATTACTTATGATACAGAATTGTTACATATATCTTTTTTGGGGGACAAACTGGGCTTTCTTGTGATCTTGTGAGTAAAAAATAAAACAAAAATGTAAATTTTATAAAGTTTGATCACTAATACTTTGAACACAAGTACCATTACTGTGGGGAAACTTACAAGTTTTATTCTGCTGCTTGTTCTATTTTCTGCAACATATAAAATTACATTTTTGGCAGAAAGCATGTTAGAGTTATTTACAAAAGTAATAAAGTTTTTTTTTCTAATTTACATTTTACATATATTTTGTTTTTAAGAGTTAACTAAAGTCTAGTACACACAATCAGGAAATCGTACGAAAAATACCTATTTCGAAGCGACTGTACGATAATCTGATTGTTAGTACTCATCTTTCATCCGAAATTATTCGAAGGGAAAAGCACGAAAATTTTTCTAGCATGATACCAGATTGTACGATTTTCATTTAATCAGTACAGTTTTCATCTGAAAATACAATACAAATACAAAACAATACATTACATCACTTTCAAATTATTATCATGTCGTACAAGAATTTTTGTAACTTTAGTAACCTCTTCAGTTTCAATATGAGACTAGCATGTAAAAAATAAAAAAATAAAATGAATGCTCATTTGTCCAATATTCTCATTGTGTGTATGGGGCTTAATTCTCTGTACACACAATAAACATTATTCTGTGTTAGCTGCAGCTCTCTCATTCACAGATCACTGTCTGTCAGGGAACTGAGGAGATAAGACAGCTACTATGTTACCTTTGTTACTGTTACAAATGTTATACCGAATGATCACTGTGATTCGCTGTCACAGTGATCAGTCAATTAGGAAGGCTTCTGACTGGCTCCTAATCATAGCAGTGGAAGATTATCTATCTACAGACATTGGGTCTCACCTGTGCACGGGAGGGAGCAGGGGAGAAGAGAAACTGCTGCCAGTCTTCCTCAATATACAGTTGCAAGAAAAAGTATGTGAACCCCTTGGGATTACGAGGAGTTTTGCATGAATTGGGCATAAAATGTGCTCTGAACGTCAACTAAGTCACAACAATAGAAGAACACAGTCTGCTGAACATAATACTACACAAACATTAGATGTTGCCATGGTTTAATTGCACATAACATGTAAACATTCACAGTGCAGGGAGGAAAAAGTATGTGAGGCCCTAGCTTAATGACTTCTCTCAGAGCTAATTGGAGCCAGGAGTGAGCCAACCTTGACTCCAATTAGTGTGATGATATTGGATGTGTTGCTGACAGCTGTCCTGCCCTTAAAAAACACACACACCTGTTTTGGGTTTACTGGTTTCAAGAAGCACTGTCTGATGTGAACCATGCCTCGCAGAAAAGAGCTCTCAGAAGACCTACGATCAAGAATTGTTGACTTGCACGAAGCTGGAAAGGGTTACAAAAGTATCTCCAAAAGCCTTGATGTTCATGTGTCCACGGTAAGACAGACTGTCTACAAATGGAGAAAGTTTAGCACTGTTGCTACTCTCCCTAGGCGTGGTCGTCCTGTAAAAATGACTGCAAGAGCACAGCGCAGAATGCTGCATGAGGTAAAGAAGAATCCCAGAGTGTCAGCTAAAGACCTACAGAAATCTCTGGCACATGCTAACATTTTTGTTGACACATCTACAATAAGGAAAACATTAAACAAGAATAGAGTACATGGGAGGACACCACGGAGGAAGCCATTGCTGTCCAAAAAGTAATATTGCAGCACATTTGAAGTTTGCAAAAGAGCACCTGGATGTTCCACATCACTACTGGCAAAATCTACTGTGGACAAATGAAACCAAGATTGAGTTGTTTGGGAAGAACACACAACACTATGTGTGGATAAAAAAAAAAGGCACAGCACACCAACATCAAAACCTCATCCCCACTGTAAAACATGGCGGAGGGAGCATCATGGTTTGGGGCTGCTTTGCTGCCTCAGGGCCTGGACGGATTGTTGTCATTGATGGGAAAATGAATTCCAGAGTTTATCAAGACATTTTGCAGGAAAACGTACGACCATCTGTCCGCCAACTGAAGCTCCGCAGAGGATGGGTGATGCAACAGGAAATCACCCAAAGCATACAAGTAATTCAACAAATCAATGGCTGCAACAGCACAGAATTCGCCTTCTTGAGTGGCCCAGTCAGAGTCCTGACCTCAACCCGATTGAAATGCTGTGGCATGACCTTAAGAGAGCGATTCACACCAGACATCCCAAGAATATTGCTACACTGAAACAGTTTTGTGAAGAGGAGTGGTCCAAAATTACTCCAGATCGTTGTGCAGGTCTGATCTGCAACTACAGGAAACGTTTGGTTGAGGTTATTGCTGCCAAAGGAGGGTCAACCAGTTATTAAGTCCAAAGGTTCACATACCTTTTCCGCCCTGCACTGTGAATGTTTACATGTTATGTGCAATTAAACCATGGCAACATCTAATGTTTGTGCAGTATTATGTTCAGCAGACTGTGTTCTTCTATTGTTGTGACTTAGATGACGTTCAGAGCACATTTTATGCCCAATTCATGCAAAACTCCACGTAATCCCAAGGGGTTCACATACTTTTTCTTGCAACTGTACAGGAGACACCGTGTGTACAGAGGAGGAGATTTTATGGACGTGTGTAACACGCCAAAGGTAGGCAACTGGTTATTCCATATTTGAGTGACTATCAGAGTTATGGGTAGCTTTTAAGCATTTAAAGTGGTATTTAAGTGGTGTTTAACCGCTTGCCCGCCACCCTATAGTAGAAGTACTGCTACAGGGCTGTACAAAATCACATATATATACAGTTAAGTCCATAAATATTTGGACACAGGCACAATTTTAATTTTTTTTAGGCATTTACCAAATATATTCAAGCTTAGTTATATAATGGATATGGGCTGAAAGTGTACACTCTCAGGTTTAATGTGATGGTATGTACATCCAAA